ATTTGGAACACTACCATTTGATGAAAACTTTTTCCCACCTTGGCCATTACCATCTTCTGTTGTTAATGATTTTCATGCATAACAAATCTTTTCAAGCAAGATTAAGTCATTTTATCAAATACCATGATCTGAAAAAACAAACAAAATAAATGCCAATATGAGATGAAAAAAAAAATAGACTATTTGATAATGGTTTCCTAAGGATATCTTGAATGAATCAACAAATTCATGTTAACAAGTAACAATTTTTTAGTAATTTAAAAAAATTTTGTTGAAAAAAAAAACTAAACCTAAAATTTCATTCATGTTTGTAACTAAATTCAACATTCAATTTCTATTCTATCTTGAATTTTTCTCAACAACCAAACAAAACCAAACTCAAAACTATAACAATAAAATAAATTGGTAAAAAAAGAAAAAGAATAGCCAAACACTGAAAATTGCCAATGTTAAAATGGAACTTACCGATGGAGCTTGAACGACAGCAGAAATGCAACAAATCAGATAAAAACTTTAAGGATTTGACCCAACAAATCAAACAAAAAGTTTAGGGATTTGACCCAAAATGCAAGAAAGCTAACTTGAAATTTGCAAAAGCAAAAAGAAAAAAAGATGAAAATTGACTACAAAATGACTGAAAGTTAGGCTAAAAATGAGAAAAAAGTGACCCACAATGAGCAGAAATTGAAGAAATTAGTAGGGTAAAGAAAAGCAAAAAGGGGATTTCGTGAGTTTGAAATTTAAGAAAAATTTAACAATGGGAAAGTGTGATATAAAAATGCCTTCAATAATCTTCTTCAATTTTTTTTGGGATTATTCAAGACGTTTTTGGCTAGAAAATGCTTTGAATAATCCCTTACAAAATTGAAAGAGGTTATTCAAGGCGTTTCTAGCAAAAAATACCTTGAATAATCTTGTTCCATTTTTTTTGGAATTATTGAAGACATTTTTGGCCAAAAATGTCTTCAATAATCTCGTTCCATTTTTTTTTAGATTATTGAAGGTGTTTTTGACCAAAAATACCTTCAATAATCCCTTTCTATTTTTTTGGAGATTATTCATGACATTTTTTGGCCAAAAAATGCCTTAATGATCTCTTACAAAAAATTGAATGAAGTTATTCAAGGCGTTTCTAGCAAAAAATATCTTAAATAATCCCTTTCATTTTTTTGGGGATTATTCAAGGTGTTTTCTACAAAAAAATACCTTCAATAATCCGCTCCCTTTTTATTTAAGATTATTCAAGCCATTTTTTCTTAGAAAACGCCTTGAATATTCTCTTACAAAAAATTAAATGGGGTTACTCAAGGTATTTCTGGCCAAAAACACATTGAATAATCTCCTTCAATTTTTTTTAGGATTATTTAAGGTGTTTTTGGCTAAAAATGCCTTTAGTAATAAAAAAATGCCTTGAATAATCTCTAAAAAAAATTGGAGGAGATTATTAAAAGTGTTTTTAGCCAAAAATACATTGAATAATCTCCTTAAATAATCCCATTTTCATTTTTTTTTATTATTGAAGGCGTTTTTTTGTAGAAAACACCTTAAATAATCTCCCCATAAAAAATGGAGATGATTATTGAAGGTGTTTTTTGCTAAAAACGTCTTCAATAATTCTCTTAAAAAATAAGAGGGGATTATTGAAGGTATTTTTAGTTAAAAACGCCTTCAATGAATATCTTTGTCAATAAATCTACCAAAAATGGAGTAGTGTTGTCAGTAGAGGATACAGTTATTAACCATAAGGTTATAGGTTTGATCCCAGGCATTGTTGGCCAAAAACGCCTTGAATAATCCCTCAAAAAACTCAAAATATGCTAAAAAGATAAATTAAACTTACGACCTTATAGCTAATAACTATATACTCTAACCGACAACACTACTATATTTTTAGCAAATTTATTGACAAGGAGATTTATTGTAAGCATTTTTTTATAAAAAAAAATGCTTTCAATAATCCTCTCCAATTTTTTAAGAGAATTATTAAAAGCGTTTTTGGTAGAAAATACCTTCAATAATCACCGTCATTTTTAATGAAGAATTATTCAAGGCGTTTTTTTATAAAAAAACACATTCAATAATCACTCTTAATTTTTTTAGAGAGGATTATTTAAGGTATTTTAGTCGATAAACACCGCTAATTTTTATCTTTAGTGGCATTTATAAGTACAAATACCATAATTTGAATATTTAGTGGCGTTTTAATAAAAAATACCTTAAGTTTTATAAAAACACAAAAGCTAGCGACGTTTTCAAGTGAAGTGCTACTACAAAACTGTCACTAATCTTTTTATTTTCTTGTAGTGATTGTACATTGGCAAATAAAAATTATATATATATATATATATGATGGTCAAATATTTTAATGTCAAGTTTAATTTTGATGTATGTAAACATTGAATGGCAAACAAAGATAATAGGAAATCTGGTAATTATATTGATATATGCAATTTCAATAAGCATATTATTTAAATGGCAAATCTAGTTTTGAAATATTATGAACTGGATATCGAAAAAAAAATTAAGAAATAAATAATTAAGTATATTATTTGAATGCTCCGACATTTGTAAGTAAGGTATATACATATGTATATAAATATTTTATAGTTATAATTAACTAATTAAATATCAAAATATTTATATTATGTTCATGAAACTGTTTTTTAATATGTTCATAAAGCGCTTTATTTGAACACGATGCCGTTGCAACTTATAAACTAAAGTATAAAGTATATCCAACGCCATTTATTGCTATATCACTACTTCAAACATTATCTGGTACTATATAAAATAGTTTACAGAGAGGTATATTAAAATAAAATAAAATAAACAAATAATAAACAAATCTTATACATTTTAACCAAAAATATAATAATATAAAGACTACATGCTTACAAATTTTTACCACCAGTAATAAAACTTTGCACAACAAAAAAAAAAAAAAAAAAAAAAAAAAAGAGAGAATGATAGACAAAAATGTGTAGAACCTATAATTTTATATTGAAAATCAACTTTTGAACCATCTATTTATAATAGAGTGATAAGAGACAAATTAATTAATAACTTAAACATAGACATTTAGTGTATTTTAGCATAAAAGGAAAAAAAATATTTGCAATTTATTTATTTTTATTATAAATTTGAATATTGACTTTTGAAATGTAAATTAATTAAAAGACAATTTTTAAATCCGTCACATGTAAAAAATATAGGCTATTCACATAAAAAATTTGTTTACTGAAAGTATTAACTTTTATATATTTATATAAGATGTAATCACGTGATTGCATTTAGCAAATTTTAAATTTTAATTTTAATATTCATAATTCTTTTCTTTTATCTGTGGACTGATTTTTTTTAAAACCTTGACAGCTTTATTTTTTTAACTTTGATTATACAAGTTCTATTAGTTTCAGTTATCAGTCATAAGTTAATTATTGAACTCCTTTATTTTGTTTTGATGATAGAAACAGGAAAACAAAGATCTGGGCACCCAAGAAACATGATTTATGGCGCTAATCAAGTGAGCATTTTCCACCTAATTGCGTACCATAGTCGGTAATACAGCGTGTGGCTTTCCAAATTTTCGCAGAATATTTGAAGAAACATTTAAAAGAATTCATCCAAACACATCCTCGAATCCTGGCAGATGATGGGTCTAGTTATATTATCTTACAAACAAGGGGACAAATAAGAGTCTTATAAAAACAGTGGGACAGGGCGGGGCCTTCAAAAGTTAGGATAAGTTATAGCAATGGTAAGTCGTTTTCTAGGGCTGATTTTTCAGGCGGACACGCTGATAGGAGTCTGCTTTACCATTTTTTTATTCAATGGGACCTCGTCCATGTTAACCCACTTAGGAGCCAACAATTGTCACTCACCACACATTGTCTCTCACAGATCTTCCCCTCTATATAATTCCATGTTCCATGAAGAGATTTTGCCATAAAAAGCATACAAACAAGCTTTAAAAAAATTATAACATAAACAAAGTTTTGTTCTATACTTTGTATGTCAGAGTTCTGCTTGAACAATGCAGCTGGGTGCACGAAATCAATAGGTATCCCTAAGCTTCGACTATGGCAGAGGTGCTCAAGACTCGTCAAGCAGCAGAGTGTTGCTTATGGAGATGCACGGTGTTGTTTCCACGTTGGGAGGAGAAGAGTTTTGAAGGTTAGCTTGAATTAGACTCCTTGTAATTTGCAGCATTATTAACCAGAAAGAGGTCTCAACAGTGCAAAGCTCAAACTACTGTGTTTTTTTTTTTAAATAAAATCAGTAGGCATTATATGCCTAAAGATTGCTTGCTTTCTAATGGTGACTGTTTTTTGGATAGAAGTAGTGGAATTATGTATGCCTGATTGTCACTTTAATGGAGACGGGCAATCAGGCAAAAGGTGAATTTTGGCTTGGTTACCTAGAATGTATACAGATTGTATAAAATGTAGTAATTGTAAATTAAGTATGATGGTTTTTTTTTGTTTTTTTAACCTCAAAAGTTGCTTTCCAACTCTTTCTCTGGCCCAACCATGATCCCTACTCTGAGCAACTCTAAACAAATAGATGGCATTACCAAATTGCGTGCAAATAGTGCAGTTACATCATAATAGATCCCATTGAATAAATGGAAAAGCAAAAAGTTGTGATCAAATCATATTGGTTTCTGGACATGGACATCTTATTCAAGGGAACCCAGATTCTTGTAGACATCAGAAAAAAATTGTCCTTCTGAGAGGCTTTCTTACCGAGTTGCTTTTAAGATTTAACATTATCAACTGACTCAATACTGCATTTAATTTAAAATTGATAATTCAAAATACGATATATTGATATGATATAAAAATAATATAAAAAATGACAATTTAAAATTTTAACAGAAAAAACATAACAAAAACAAAAAATATATATTATATTTTTCGTATCAACATATATTCTTACATATAATTTTTATATAAAACATAACATAAATTTTTGGTATTTTACATGGTTAAAACATTTGTCAATTCTAATTTAATCAGTTGAATATTTAAGAGGAGCAATTGTTCCTATTGGTTCAGGTAAACTACATTTCTTCTTGGAATATTGTCACTGATAGTGCAACTTACCTTTTCCAGGGACTTCTTGTCCCGAGGGAAATGAAATGACTTGATAAAATTCCCATGTGTTTCATGAGTACAACCCATAACTTGACGATCTTATTCCCTATGTTTAGACAAAGCAGAAAAATTATGGGGAAAATTTTATGGTTTGGAACAACGAGCAATTGACAAATTTAAATTACAAAGATATTTTCAAACTGAATTCAGTAGGGTTTCCCCCCTACCTCTAGCTTCCATTCCCAGAAATAGGCTACTTAACAAAGAATTCACCTAATGCGGCAAAATACACCAAAAACATGATGCAAAAGCATCTCTACAAAATCATGGCTCAGTACCATATTTCATCACCCAAAAATAGGAAAGGAAAAGAATGAAGCCTGAGCCCTAAAACGTTTGGAAGTTCTAACTGCATTTTTCTTTGACTTGCATACCATTATCCACAAGAAATTCATTGAGACATAAGAATCATGTCAATGAACAAGCCTTTATTTTCCCTTTTCCATCCACTTTAAGAGTAGAAACAAAAACACTCGCCCCTCAGGACCACTGGCATAAATTCCTGACAATTATATATTTGTTTCATCTCTTGTTCTCAGCAGGTGTACCTTGTAACCGAGGGGAGTTCAAATCACCCTCCACAGGCTTTTTCAGGGCTTGACCTTGCTTACTTTGGGTTCCCTGGGCAATGAAAAATAGAAGAAACACCAATATCAGACTCCAGCAACTTGGGGTAATCAGTGGGTACTTACAAAATTACTTTTAGGCTAGCAAGCCACAAAAAATTCAATGATTGTGAAACATATTTCGAGACTAAAACTGATTTCAAGTAATTTATTAGTAACCCGCTATCAATCTTGTGATGATAGATGTTATTTTTTCCATTTTTAACTTTATACATGGAAAACAATCAAAGGCACCAAAGGGGGTGCAAGCCATGTAAAATGCCTAGGCATTAATATTCGATCAATAACATCTATAGCGCTTTTTGCTTCTAAGTGCCTCTGCCTAAAATAAGAAATAGAGAGAAACCATACATATAATAACTTTTCTAAGGGAAATTCTACCCCCTCAAAAGCCCTTCTGTTCCTTTCTGTCCACAAAAGTTAAAAAGTAAAGAAGGATTATATCCCTCACTTTACATTTTTTTTTTCCAAGCCATACACACCAAGTAAAGAAGGATTAAATCCCTCACTTTTACTTTTTTTTTTCCTAGCCATACAAGCGTGAATGTCATTCTAGGCCCCCAACTCCACTCCAATTCGACTTGTCCCAAAGGAAGAGATGCCTAACATAACAGAAGCTAATGACCAATCCAGCCACAAGCAACTCAAATGAGAATGAACTAATTCCACAGCCATACGACACAAGTATCTATTCGGGAGAATTTTTCCTCTCTTTGGGAGGTTATCAATGATCAACATTCTTTCCCAAGGTACCTCCCAAGCAAGAAAAGCAATCTCGGTTAGGGCCTTAGGCTTCTAGATTACTCTCCAGGGAAAACATGTACTCCCTCCTATTGATATCTCTTTCACTACCTCTTTGTATAAAGTCTTCACTTGGAAAACTCCCTCTTGCACTAGTCTCCATCTTTGGTGATCATCTCTCCATGAATCTCAAACCACCTTATAAAAATGCAAGTCAAAGAACTTGGACAAACTTTTAATCTCTCAATCTTGTCCATTTCTTAAAAATGCACATTCGATGCTGACCATTAAAGCTAGAGAAGCAAGAGGCTATTGAGCACTATACCACTTTTATAGTACCTTATAGTGCTTTTGTTATTTACTTATAAACTATTAAAAGAACAAAAAAGCCTTTCTTTTTGTTAGATACTATTACATATTTTTAATACCCAAAAAACACTCAGTTTATTATTCCTCTTTTCTTTTTTTTTTTTTCTCTTTCAATTTAGTTGGCACAAAGGAATACTATCAAAACTTCGATAGTTTACAAAAAGATTAAAAACTGTCCACCTTGTTTTTCTCCTTTTCAGTTTAGTGTAAAAGAAATTTTTTATTCAAAATTTCATGTCTTATAAATACTTTAAAAATATTTTAAAGATTTCTGTGCAACAACCCCCAGAACAGATGAAGCAGAGCCATCCATGACACAGACAAAAAAGAAAAAAGAAACAGAAACAGAAAGGAAATGCTTAAAGTAATGTTTCCTTACCGCTCCCTTCTGACCAGTTAGCCTCCGACTCGATGGTGCCCGTGCCACTGATGAAGCAGCAGCAGCTGCGGCAACACGGATTCTGCAAAAATAAATGATATAGCATCATTCTTATTTTTTTCGTACTTTTGGAGATAAACTAATGAATATTAATGTTCCAATATTGCAATACCTTTTATGCACATCAACATATTCATCTGTTTCATCCACTATCTCCTCCTGTGTTTGTAAAGACAACCAGCAGCTAATTAAGAAAAACCCACTAGAAAAGAAACAAGATCCCAAGGGACTCTAATTTACCTGCAGAAGTTCTTCAAAAACATCTTCTAGGGTGATAATACCAATCACTTCACCATCTTCAATATCCTCTGTTGTGATAGAGAATCCATTTGTTGAAGCATCTAGCCTGCTTAAATTGCCAGGCCTTGGAGACTTATCAATGTCAACAACAATGCTCTCTGGCTTCTCATTCAGCTTTGATAGCAGAGGAGTAGTCAGTTGGGAGTCTGTGCCAGAGGCTTTGTTTTCTTCTGATTTTTGTCCATCAACTGGAGGAAGATTCTTATTTTTTCCTTTAGCCTTGACAATGGCTGCCATATGACTGCTGCCCTTTTGAAACTCATTCAGTATATCATACAGAGGCATGTCAGCTGGAACCCTGTGGAAGCATCCCATACATGAATTCTAGACTAGCTAGATATTTTATAATTATTACCAAATAAAAATGATAGGCACAATTATGAATAACTGAGAAACCTTGGAATTCTCCGGATGGAAACAGCACTGACTAGTGTCTCAGTTTCAGGGCGTACAGTGAGAAGGCTTTTGACCTTATCCCAATTTTCAAACAATATTAGAGATGCAGAATAAGTAAAAGAACCAACAAGATCAGTACAGTTTAAGATGAGATTTCATCTAAATTCACAAGTCTAACACATACTAGCAGAAGTCCAATAATGTTTTTGGGATTCCCAGAGTAGACAGGGACTCGGCTATGACCACGAGCGAGAATCTTACCCATTGCCTCCCTGAGGTAATTGATTCAAGATTTAAGATCAGAGAAAGAGGCTGAGAAACTTATAACATAATAATTATTTTTATAATTTCGACTAGGATTCAGAAAACAATACAAAAGGAACAGATTCATTAGTTACATTGATACTCTAGACATCACTAACACATATAAAACTTTATGATGTAAAAGCAATTGCCAATGTGCGTCTACAGTTAATAAATAGTCGTAAATTGCTCAATGCACTTATATATAAAGTATAGAAAGAGGAAGTAAGTTCTAGCATATTTAGGTTTTTCTATATGATGGATTAGGGAAGGCCAGAAGGGGAATAGTTGTATGAAATACAAACTTTAGCACTAAAAATGATTAATGTACGAATCCTTCTTATATTAAACTACAATATAAATTACGGAGCAAAAATTACCAGTCCAACTTTGAATTGACATCTAAAGAGAAAGTTGATTCTATAGGTGTCATAGCCTCCTCAGCAGTCTGTCCAAATATTATATAACAAAACAAGAAAAATTAGTTTAAGATGCTAAGCTAACTGATGAAATTGTTTCTAACTGATCCTAGTGAAGCCACAATGACATGAAATGAATATGCAAATTCTAAAGCTTATATTACTTCATACTATTCCATTTCTGCAAGGTAAGTGACCATTATATCGTAAGCTATATAACGGTCGTCAATTAAAAGCCATCAATCACATTACTTTTATTGTGATGCATACCTTTTCAGTCAAATCTAGTGCTCCGCTAATAATTGTTGTTTCATCATGAGTGAGCTCACCTCCCTTGCCAGCCTAAATAATTAGATCAATAAACAAATCTTCATATGAAGAAAGAGACATGGGATGTAATGGCAATCTTCTCCAGTTCTAGAATTGTTGACAAAGTAGCGTACTTTGGCCAAGGGATTACTGTATTGTGTAATGGGTAGTAACATCAAAATGATTTACCTCCTGGCTGTGGATGGAGACAAGGGCCTTCAGTTGAGCCCGCCTAAAAAGTGCTTCATTATGCCCCAGCACCCAATCCAGAACCTGAAAAAGATATATACCTTTAGAGCTTCAACAATTCAAATAGCCTGTCAAAACTACACAAATGAGAAGACAAACTAACTCTAATAGATACTTCGTTTAGACTCAATCTCATTTTCCTTAAATGTTGGGGGGTGTGGGTAGGCAACGGAAACGGAAGCTTCATTCTAGACAACAGTTTAAATTCTATTAAAGCAAAGAAAATGAGAAGTAATCTTTCCCTCTATTTCTCTCCGATTTCTCCCTGATTTCTAGTTCCTCCCTCTTTCACCTCCCCTTTCAAGATCACGATTTCTTTCATTTTCTGAATGACAAAATGGTCAAACTCCAGTACCTCCATTAACTCAAAATGGGAGAAAACCAACAACTACCTCGTATTTGAACACTGGTGTTTCCCCAGAGAAAATATTTGGGTATGGAAAGAAAAGAGTTGCACAAAAATATATAGAAAGGTTAATACATATTATCAAACCATCACAAGCATGATCTCAAGAAAGCCAATTTGCCACTGTTGATTAAGGAGCCCCAGATCTCAACACCTAGAGAAACTAAAAAAAGAATATTTCCTCATAGTTTCTTTAGTTCAATGACTACCATTTATTTGTTTGTCAGCCATTGGCCAATAAACAACCACAAAATAATCAAGTCTAGTGAACAGAATTCAAGTGTTATTTGTCATGTAAAACTGTGTCATATTGAGTAAATAGACAAGATTAATTACAAGAACTTTCTCCTGAATCAAATCAACTACCTATATTATGTATCACAGGACTAGGAAGTGTTACAATAGTTTTATTAAGCAGCCTCTAAAATGACCTTTTCCTGCATGGGGGTTAACCGAGTACAAATAATAAGTACTGGCCTTCGGATTTACCTTCCCTATGGGATAAGCTATTGGATAGCAAATAATCATTAAAATTTGCACAAGCACCGCAAAATTTGCACCTACAGCAAGTCCATATCTTGTGCATATTGCTTGTGGAATAACCTGAAAAGTATAAGGAACTCATCTTGGCCAAGCATTCAAAGGATGAAGTCAAACTAACATAGTACAAAAGTTTGAACAGCCTACCTCACCAAAAGCTAGAACAAAAGTCACAGAAAGTATGATAGCAAGATATTGATTGAAAAGCTTATCCAGGTATATAGGAAGGGCCTGCAAATTGGAAATATCAAGGCTGTCAGTGAAAGTCAACCTACTCTTATGCATCCTTAGTAAATTTAATACACAGTAAATTTCAAGTAAAGCAATATTTAAGAGGTAGTCAAAGATTAACATCATTATGTTCATTAGAGAGCCTCAACCAATGTAGCAAGAAGACAACAAATCAAAGTTTCTAACAAACTGATTATTGAAATGGCTGTGCATCAGTTTAATATCAACATGTGATGTTTCGCATCTAGTTCCTTGATCATGGGGATCTACCTTAAACCTTACTTTATATGTTAAACTAATTGCTTGGAAAAAGAAATCAACTACCTATAATAATTGTAGGAAAATATTTATTTACAACTGGTTATAATATTGTAATCTGCATATTTATATTTATATATTTAGAATTAAGTATTTGTATCCTAAGAATTAAGGTAAAAAAATTAGGATAGACAATCCCTCAACTAGAGGATCAGTTTTAGGAAGATTTAGTTTCTTAGTTTCCCCACTAATTAGTTGTATATAAACCTAAGGTGTTTGTATAATTCTTAATGAGCAATTTTCAATATACATTCAGTGTTACTCTTAGTTTTTCACACAGTTTTATTTCTTAGTTTTTTAACATAATATCAAGCTTTAGGCTCTACTTGGGAAAATTTTTTTAGCCTTCATTGCTGAATTCTATTTCGAGCTTTCATAGCCAAATCTTGTTAAATCTTTTAGTCTTATTTTTCTTTCTTTGGCCTTCACTACCTAGAATCCTCTCTTGTTAAACTTTTACCATCAAGACTCGTTTCAATCCTAAGAAAGATAACCATTCCAAAGATTGTAAAATCTGCCACTAATACCCGATTTGAGGAAGTGACAATTGGTAAAACCATCTAAGTACTACAGAAGTCTCGGGAACAAAAAAGTTGGACAGAAAAGAGATTGAGAAACTAAAAAGCCTATTCAAAGCTCTTGAAAAGCATACTGGGGCATATTCTTCGGATAAGATCTCTAGTTCAAGTAAAGCTTCTGGTTCTCATGTATTAAATGTCTTGGTTAAGCCTATTACAAGTTCTTGGGTCATTGACTCAAAAGCCATAGACCATATGATGCATTCTCACAAAAGTTTAGTACATATATCATGTGTCCTAGTAATAAGAAAATTGTTGTTGCAAATGATTCACTTACTACAATGACAGGCTTAGGAGATGTTCAAATTAATCCCTCATTTGCTTTTAAAAATGTTCTTCATGTTCTTAGATTGTCTACTAATTTGATATCTATACAAAAACTTACTAGAGACATGAATTGCACAGTCACTTTTTACCTCTCTTATTGTGAATTTCAAGACCAGAGTTAGGAGAAAAGGATTCGACTTGCTAAGGAGAAAGATGGACTATACTATCTTGAACCAATGCAAGTCCAAGAACTTGATCCTAACTCTAGAAATGACAAAACTGCAATCTTTAACTCTAGAAATGAGGTAACTAGAATCTTTGACTCTATTTCTCAAAATGAGCATGAATATCCTAAAACCATAGCTAATGATTACAATCTGCCTACTGCCATTAGGAAAGGAACCAGAGAATGTACTAAACATCTACTATACCCAATCTCCAATTGTGTCACTTGAAAAATTCTCACTATCCCACAAAAATTTCCTTGTGAGCTTAAACACTATTTCTATTCCAACTGAATTATCCGAGGCATTATCTAGTGAGAAATGGATGCAAGCCATGAAAACAGAAATGGAAGCCTTAGAGAAAAATAAGACATGGGAACTGATAGAGTTGCCTACAGGAAAAAATCCAATTGGGTGTAAATGGGTTTTCACTATAAAATACAAGGCGGAAGATACTATTGAAAGGTATAAAGCCAAGTTGGTGGCTAAAGGCTACACTCAAACTTATGGAGTGGATTATCATGTAACTTTTGCTCAAGTTGCCAAGATGAATACAGTTAGAATTTTGTTATCATTGGCTGCAAATTACAATTGGCAGCTTCAAATTTGATGTAAAGAATGCTTTTATACATGGTGATTTGGAAGAAAAAATATATATGAAGGTTCCACTGGGATTTGGAGTTCATCTAGAAGCAAACAAAGTATGCAAACTGAAAAAGGCTTTATATGGCCTTAAACAGTCTCCTAGGCCTTGGTTTGAGAGATTTGCCAAAGTGATGCTAGCAATGGGATATAAGCAGAGTCAAGGGAATCGCACATTGTTTATCAAGCATTCTGATTCAGGTAGAGTCATAGTTCTATTAGTGTATGTTAATGATATAATTGTAACCGGAGATGATGACAATCTCTAAAATAGTGTTTCGCTAGAGAATTTGAGATAAAAGAGTTAGGGAGACTGAAGCACTTCCTAGGAATTGAAGTAGCTCACTCAAGGCATGATATTTTCATTTCACAACAGAAATATATGATGGATCTTTTGAAGGAAATTGGGAAGCTCGCATGTAAACCTACAAATACCCCTATAAATCCTAATCATAAACTTGGAGAAGCTAATGAAGATGTTGCTCTAGATAGAGAGATGTACCAGAGATTAGTTGGAAGACTTATTTATCTCTTATATACTAAACCTGATATAGCATATGCTGTGAGTGTGATAAGTCAATTTATGCATAGTCCTAAAGAAGTGCATCTACGGACTGTTTACTATGTATTGCACTATTTGAAGGCCAATCCTGAAAGAGGTATCTTATTTAAAAGAAATTTGAGGCTGGTTCTAAAGACATATGCAAATGCAGATTATGCAGGTTCAATAACTAATAGAAGATCCACCTCAAGCTAATGCACTTTCCTAGGTGGTAATTTTTTGACTTAAAGAAATAAAAAACAGAATGTGATGGCAAGATCAAGTGCTGAAGCATAGTTAAGAGCAATGGCTCAAGAAATTTGTGAACTACTATGATTAAAGATTATCCTAGAAGACTTTAAGATCAAGTGGGATGGACCAATGAGACTCTACTGTGATAAGCATTGCACAATCTTGTGCAACATGACAAAATAAAATACATTGAAGTAGAATGGCATTTCATAAAGGAAAAATTAGACAGTGGGTTGATTTGTACACCATATGTATCAACCAAGGGTCAACTTGCAAATGTGTTGACTAAAGGCTCAACAGTGCAACATTTCAAGAAATTATTTCCAAGCTAGGAATAGAAAACACTTATTCACCAGCTTCACGGGGAGTGTGAGAAAACATTTATTTACAACTGGTTGTAATATTGTAATCAGTATATTTATATTTATATCTTTAGAATTAAGCAATTGTATCCCTAGAATTAAGGGCAAAAAATTAGGATAAACAATCCCTCAATTAAAGGATCAGTTTTAAGAAGATTTAGTTTTTTAGTTTACCCACTAGTCAGTTATATATAAACTTAAGGTGCTTGTATAATTCTTAATTAGTAGTTTTTCAATATACATTTAGTTTTACTCTTAATTTTTCACAATTTTATTTCTTAGTGTTTCCACAATAACAACTTTAGGTTAAATACTTGTTTGCAATCAGAGCCTACATTCTTATAATCAAATTCAAGCAAAAAGAACATGGTGATGGGCTTGGTTGTGTTGGGAATAGTGACTCAAAACCCTTAAGAGATTTGTTTGGGATTGGCTAAATATTACTTGAAGGATAACAAGGCTTGCAAAATAAGAATTATAAGAGGAAAGGGATTCCTGATAGACAAGTTTATATGCTTATAAATAGCTTATAAATAGGTGAAGTCTCTATAAGTTTAAGTATGAGAAAAATATGTACAAAAGTTGTAAGTTTTTATGGGATAGACATATCATAGGAGTGTTGGGGATTTACATCTTATGGGTGTGAGTATGTTTGAATGTTAAGTGAGCTAGAGGAGAACAAAATGGTTCACATAGGTATGATGCATAGGAGCATATAGGTATATATTTATTTGTGTTGAAAGGGTGTACATGTGTATGTGTTTGTTTGGGTTGAGAATACTCCATAGAACTAGAAGGAATTGAGAGGATCTATGGGTATTGATTATTAGTGTTTGATTTAATTGTATGTTTGTAATTTTTTATAATTAGTGGATCTTGTTTCTCATCCGTGGGCGTAAGTTAGTTGGGCCAAACCACATTAAATTGTTATCTTTTATGTGACTGATTAATTGCTTAATTATGCTTTCGCGAGCTTGATTGATTGGAGGCTTTTTGCTTAACAGTAGTATCAAAGCTAAAGGTTTGAGATATGGGAAGAGGTAACCTTAGAGGAACTCGATTCAAGTGAAGAGTTCGAGTTCGTGCTTTAAGAATTGAGGATTGATTTGCGTGAAGCATGAAGACATAAGAGAAGATAATTGTGAGAGTTCTATTGCAGATGGAAAGCCAAGCATGTTTAGTATGAAAACAAATGATTTGATGGAATTTGAGTTAAGGTAGAGATTGTTGGAAACAGTACCTCAAAACCTATAAGAGATTTGTTTGAAATTAACTAGACATTACTTGATGGATAAGAATACTTGCAAAAGTATAATTTTAAAAGGAAATGGATTCTTGATAGGCAAGTTTGCATGCTTATAAATAGGTGAATCCTCTATAAGGTTAGGTATAAGAAAAAAAATAAGAGTTGTAGAATTTTTTTGGATAGACACCCTGTAAAAGTACTGGGGATTTACGTCTTATGGGTATTGATGTTTAAATATTAAGTGCACTAGAGGAGAACAAGATGGTTCACATGATATGATGCATGGGTGCATATCGGTATGTGTTTGTTTGTGATGGAAGGGTACACACAAGTATGCGTTTGTTTGGGTTGAGAGTACTCCATAAGACTAGAAGAGATTGAGAATGTTTATGAGTATTGGTTATGAATATTTGATTTGATTCTATATTTGTAATTATCTACAACTACTGGATCTTGTTTCTCATTCGTGAATGTAGGTGCGTTAGGCTGAACCATGTTAAATTTGTCTCTTCTGTGATTGATTAATTATTTGATTATGTTTTCGCTGGCTTAATTGATTGGAGGCTTTTTGCCTAACAATGGTATCAAACCTAAAGGTTTAAAATATAAGAAGAGATAAGCTTATAGGAGCTCGATTCAAGAGAAGAGTTTAAGTTCGTGATTTGAGAATTGAAGATTGATTTGCATGAAGTATAAAAACAAACAAGAGAAGATGATTGTGTGACTTCCATTGAAGGTGGAGTCAAGTATGTCTAACATGAAGACAAATGATTTGATGGAATTGGAATCAAAGTGGAGGTTTTTAGGAATAATGACTCAAAACCCATGAGAGATTTGTTTGGAATTGGCTACATATTACTTGATAGATAAGAAGACTTACAAAAAAAGAATTCTAAGAAGAAAGAGATTCTTGATAGGTAAGTTTATATACTTATAAATAGGTGAAGTCTCTATAGAATTAGGGAAAAAAATATAAAAAAGTTGTAAGATTTTATGGAATAGACACTCCATAGGAGTACTGGAATTTACGTCTTATAGGTGTATATGTTTGAATATTAAGTGGACTAGATGAGAATGAGATGGTTCACATAGATATGATGCATGAGTGCACATGGATATATGTTTATTTAAGTTGAAAATACTCCACAGAACTAGAGGAGATTGAGAGGATCTATAGGTATAAGTTATGAGTGTTTGATTTGATTGTATGTTTGTAATTCTTTACAACTAGTGGATCTTGTTTCTCATCCATGAACGTAGGTCATATGTTTCTTTGTATTGAAAGCGTGCACATGGATATGTATTTTTGGGTTGAGAATACTCTATAAGACTAGAAGACATTGAGAAAGTATATGGGTATTGGTTATCAGTATTTGATTTGATTGTATGTTTGTAATTCTCTACAACTAGTAAATCTTATTTCTCATCCGTGGACGTAGATCATTTGGGCCGAACCACATTAAATTGTTGTCTCTTGTGTGATTGATTAATTGTTTAATTATGCTTTCGCTGGCTTAATTAGATTGGAGGTTTTTGCCTAATAAGTGATATCAGAGCTAAAGTTTTGAGATATGGGAAGAGGTAATTTTAAAGGAGCTTGATTCAAGAGAAGAGTGCGAGTTTGTGCTTTTAGAATTGAAGATTGATTTGCGTGAAACGTAAAGACACACAAAAGAAAATTATTGTGAAACTTCCATTGCAGGTGAAGCCGAGCATGTTTAGCATGAAGACAGATAATTTAATGAAATTTGAGTTAAGAGGGAGATTGTTGGAAATAGTGACTCAAAACCCGTAAGAGATTTGTTTGTGATTGACTAGATATTACTTGATGGATAAGAAGACTTGTAAAAGAAGAATTCTAATAGGAAAGAGATTTTTGATAGGCAAGTTTGTATGATTATAAATAGATGAAATCTCTATAGAGTTAGGTATGAGAAAAAGATGCAAGAGAATTGTAGAGTTTTATGGGATAGACACCCATAGGAATACTAGGGATTTACGTCTTATAAGTGTGTATGTTTAAATGTTAAGTGGACTAAAGGAGAATGAGATAGTTTACATAGGTATGATGCATAGGTGCATATGGGTATATATTTGTTTATGTTGAAAATGTGTACATTAATATGTGTTTGTTTGAGTTAAGAATATTCTAGAAAAGATTGAGAAGGTCTATGGGTATTAATTATGAGTGTTTGATTGGATTATATGTTTGTAATTCTCTACAACTAGTGGATCTTATTTCTCATTCATAGACATAGGTCGGTTTGACCGAATCATGTTAAATTATTATCCGTTGTGTGATTGATTAATTGTTTAATTATGCTTCTGCTGGCATAATTAGATTGAAGGTTTTTTGCCTAATAGGTTGGCACTCATCCCACATGCAAACTCCAACAAGCTTGCACGTATGAACCGTATTAGATACCATCAAGCCAATACTGGATTCTCACTTTTCAACTGAAATTTCAGTTTGTGATCTTAGACTTACATTAAAACTTCAGTTTTAGCAAATCTAATTCCAATCCTTAATATTAGGCAATACTGGATTCTCACTTTTCAACTGAAATTTCAGTTTGTGATCTTCGACTTCCATTAAAACTTCAGTTTTAGCAAATCTAATTACAATCCTTCATATTAGGCAACATTTTTTAGTCAAATACTTTCAATCTAGCCTTGTCTCATGTTTTTTTTTTTTTTTTTGCATAAAGAAACAAGTAAGCAAACACGTGATAATTCCACTCAAATTCGTATACCATTGAACCGCAAATGTTGTTAAATCGGTTTTTACCTCCATAGCAGCAGCATTGCAGAGAAGCAAAGTCACCAAAAGCTGATGCTGTTTTTGTACCACTGGCAAAATAGCAGCTAAAAAACACAAAACAAAAAAATCAAATTTCAAAACCAATAATAATTATCAAAATTCAATAATTTCTTCACATCAATTCCAAATCAAAAAAAAAAAATCTACCAGCTTGTTTTTTCTCAGTGGGGGTGCCGCTGCGTTGGAGAATTTCAAGTTCGACGAGACCAAGCGACATGAGTCCGAGAGTGAGACCCGACATGATCCCCGCGAAGAGTACTAAAAAGCAAGAAACGCCGGCGTAGATGAACCACCATGGAGATCCAAAGGAAATCCCTTCTTCGACTGATTCATTGACGGAGGCCGCCTTGTTCAACAGCATCCTCGCCGCCACCACCGCATTTATCGGATGCATCGTGGCAGTTTCAATCACAGGGAGTCCAACCGAAAGAAATAAGAGAGAGAGTTTGTTCTTTTGCACTTGTTTTTGGTATTTGTATATACTAATACTAGTATATACTGATAAAAAAGTTAGCGAATTGGATGAGGACACGTGGCAGATCTTGCCGTTTTGCTAATGTATGCTTGTGGGGTCCGGTAGAAATAGTGCTAGGAACTGAATCGACGGTGATTCCGTTAACATGTGCACGTGGCATAAAATGATAATTGATCTTCAGTTGGATTTGGTCAAAGTGCAAAAAAGCTCCTTTCTTTTCGTATTCCAAGTCTGATCATTAAAACGGAGTTTAACATTTATCAACAAATCACGAACAACGCGACTGTAGGCAAACGAGAAAGGTACTTTCTTTTTTCTTTAGAAAATCTTAAATGACTTCTTGTTTTTTTTTTGGAAACTGCTTGTTATTATCTTGACAAAAGAAAGGCAAAAATCCGATTGCTTCAGGGTTCAGCTTCACCATTCCTCACCCTATCTAAACCTTGAAAATATCATTGTTAAAAAATGAAGGTTACCAGGGTAGGTTATGGTTAAAAAAAAATGATGGTGACCAGGGTAGGTAATCGAAACCCCATTTTGTACTATCAACTCTAATAATGGTTATTTGGTCCGATCTTTACTCTTTACTCTTTTGAAAGTTCCACTTTCAGCTGAAAACTGAACAATAACTTCTCTTTGGCTTCCTCTAATTACAGGGAAATACAAAAAGAAAAGAAAGCCTCTACTCCTATTGCATGCATTTTGTTCACTGAAACTTCAATCTATTTTGTGAATATCATACAGATAGGAGTAACAAATATTAATAAACTTCCCTAAGCACTGTGTTAGGCTGTAAGCTGTCATAGTATCCCGTATCTGCCACCAACTGAAATGTTTTTTTACTATTTTTTCTGCTTAACATTGATTCGACGAAAAAAGCTCTTGTATGTGTAAAATTTGGACTTGTATGGTGTTGCCCTCCGATTTTTGGACAATCCAGGCGTAGCAATTTTAACTAAAATAAACCTGCCATCAAAAAACTAACCAATTTGGCAGTCGTGAGAATGGGATGTGAAGGTATTGCTCGACGAGTATCAATATAATTGCCAGATATGCTACCTTTCTATTCATCTCCTTCACAGCTAACAGGGCAGACTCTTATCAAACCAAACAAAACCAGATCCTAAACACTGCTTAGATACTCTTTCCCCGACAACATTGACTGCAAAAATCAAATTAAACAATCAGAGAAAAAGCTACAATCTGATCAATTCTTGCTCTAAATTTTTAGAAATGATACAAAAATCCGTAGTTCATCACATTTTGATAAAAATAAAGATACTTAAAACAATATTAAAAATTGTTGGACAAAAAAATTAGATTAAATTTATAACACTAGCATCCAATAAAAAGAAAAACTTTGATTTTACAAGAACTCCAAGCAGAAACATACGCACATCAAAATATACTTTTTTGAATTGATGTCGAACATATTTTTGGGACAAAACATTTTCTGAGTTTCGGAAACAAAATATTTTTCACAGCTGAATCTAAGGGTTTAGATGAGTCAACCTACTTGCGAGCCACTTGGGCTAGATTCAATGAACACTCAAGTTTAGCTCGAGCTAAGTTCTAATACTTTAATACCCAACTCGAGAAACTCGAAAGCTTAATCAAGCATTTAGACTTTAAATAAATTTAATATTATATATAAGTAAATTGCAAAAATGTAGGATTTAATATCCATATTTATAATTTTATCGAGCTTAATCAAGTCTTAAAGCCATGATCCAGTGGACTCAAGGAAATTACTAACCAAGGTTGAGTATAAAAATGGAGCTTGATTGAGCTTCAAACCTCGGCTTTTTGAATCGAAACAAGCTTGAGCCTGGTAATGTATCTACTTGATTACACCCCTAAGGGAAACTCAATTAGATAGGCAACTAGGATTATTAATTCCTAGTTTTTGTTGCACAGTTGCAGGCGCTCATATTTGCACATCAATTACATTCATCCACATTTGCTAACATACTTTACCAAATCAATCACACACAAATTCAAAATCAGGCTTTTTCTCCTTAGATGGGAGAAATTAAGGGCAAGACTGTTTTCGCTCTCTGTTTTATACCCACCAGACGCCTCACACCTCACAACTCCTCGTATACTGAAGTTTTTTGCCACCGATTCTTTCCCAAAAATACATGAAAAATGTCCTACACAATAACCTATTACTAAAAGCGAATATCACATTAACAGGACATGAATCTCTTCATAGTGTTTTTCACTAATCCTATCTAGATCGAAAAACTCCTGCTTTACTAGAATTTAGAACTATTCCATGGATGTACATCATATTAAACAGAAAAAGAAAATCATTTGAGCTACAACATTCGGACAAACCAAAATGAAAACTTTGATAAACAAGTTCACCTTGTTTAACTTCCCCGAACTGCCAAAACACTTTCATCAAATGTCCTTCAGCCGTTGACCGAGGCAATCCTAAGAAAACAATATAGACAAACAATCATATTCAGCTACATGTATGATTACTACCAAAAATTCAAACATACACAAACCTTAAAACTTTACCTTTGATGAAAACACCTGTGGAAGAAGAACTATAGGATTCTGATTCAGAACTGAAGTTAGAACAGCAAATGGGTTGATGGGTCAGAGATGGGAAGCTTATTCTGAATGATTTTGAGCTATGGGTATTGGAAATTGAGCGTTTTGGGTTAATTGTGAAGAGTTTTGAGAGTTGGAGGGAGGAAAATAGTGGCGATGGACACTGCCAAAGTAATGCCATCCAAAGAACTGCAAATGCCCTAAGCCTTGTTGGGTTTTAAGAATTTTGTACGACCAAATTGAAATATATAGACGCTAAAGGCTAAAAAAAATACTTGAATTATAATTAAAAAGATTATTCAAATTTTTATATTTTTTTATCCAATTAAATCTTTATTTAGATAAAAATGTTAACATTGTTAATATTTTATCGACTAAAATAAAATTTTCTATAATATCAATAAAATAGATTAAAATTTATTACTTAACACCATTAATATATATATATGAAAATTAAATAAAATAGATTTTTTTATTTTTTTCATTTTTCATTTTTTCTCACCTTTTTCTATCTAAAATTCTTTTAAGAGTTCGATTGCCTATAGTTAAGGGATTAATTAATTAAATTTTATAACATGATTATATTTCATTTATTTAAAGGTTCAATTGAGTCAGAAAATAAAAAATTAAGAGTTTGATTGATTATAATAAAATATTATGGATTTAAATGAGTATTGAATTATAATCCTGTGACATTTTTAATTTTTTGGCTAAATATATAACTTAAAATATTGTCTTGATAATGTGTAAATCCAAACTTCATTGCAAAACACAAAATAATGGAGTGGTTATCAAAATTTTTTTATTAGCTATAATTGTTCACTTATGTGAATTTATCATATTTAAAAAATTTTAAATTAATTAAATTTTTTTAAAAAAGAATAAGTTCTAATCTATTAAATAAATTGGCTTTGAAAGTACAAATTTAGTCTATTAAATAAATTAGCTTCGAAAGTACATATGTCCACCTAAAGATGGTATCAATTAATTTTATATTATCCTAAAATGATTTTTTTACTTTTATTTTGATTTCTTAAATTTCATTATTTAAAGTATTAGGAAAAAAAATTAGGTTTTTGTCACCATTTTCACAAATTTTCTAAAAAAACTCTTTGATAGCACTTAAATATATAGTGATTTATAAGTTCAATTTAGTGGAAAATTTTTAAATTTTGATTAATTTTGATGCATTTAATGTTTATTTTCTTGATCTTTAGGTTTTTTTTACTTGTAGTAGGATTTCTATTATTTTTATACAAGAAATGATTAAAACAAGCATTATCCTTGTAATTTTAAAACAAGCATGTAATGATGGAATGAAATTTGACCTGAGTAGAATTACTAAATTTGACTTCAAATAGGAGTTCTAATGCCATGAAGGCACATAGATGGATTTGACTATATCATGTTCAAAAGGAATTCATGCTCATGTGTGATAAATGAAGAGTTTCAATCAAACAAGGACATTATGAAATTTGACCAAAGCAAGTTGTGATTAAGAATGACTCTTTTGATTATCCATTCAAAGAGTTATGATTCAAGAAAAAATGTGCATGATAATTATCAAGAGATTGGATGAGAAACAAATACCTAGTCTTGGATTACAAGCCTTAGTCAAACCTACAAAGAAGCAAGATCAAGATGAAGCACTCCATGATCCAATGACCAAGATAAGTTCCCAAGGTAGCATGATTGGCCAAGATGATTCAAAAAGCAAGAGAACACATTTGGCCAACTTCTTTAGAGATTAGGTTAACATCAATCTTTAAAGTTTTAATAGGATTAAAATTTTGACTTTGTAGTTATTTTTTTAACCGAACCCACCTTTATAAAAAGGGAGGCTTGCTCTTGTTTCCTTCATACCATGCGTCACATTCTATTTTTTTTCTTCTTTTCGGTTTCTTTAGATCATAATTTTCTTTAGTTTTTTTTATAGTTTGGCTATAGTGACAAATTAGCCCAACTAAAATTGTTTTATAAATTCTTCTTTCAATACAAGTATTATTTTATTCAAGATCTAGTTTTCTCAAAGCACTTTTTCTTTTCTAGTTTTGGTTTACATCTTGATTTATTATTTACAAGTTTCGACCATAGTTCTTTTACAAGTTCAAGCTTTCGATTTTCATAAGATCTTTATTTCAATTATTTCTTTTATGCTTTTATAATATTTGGCCTTCAAAAATCTCCTTTCTTTCAAGTTTTGCATTCTTGTTTCCTTTAGATTTTGTTTCTGCCAAATCTAGTACTTGCCAAGTAATAGTTAGTTAAATAGATCTAGGCATATACAATCTTTCTTTTATGTTCTTGTTTATTCTTATTGCAAATCAATCAAAGTTTTCATTAGCTTAGATATAAAAGTTTAGTTTATCAACTTTGGTAATTGAATCCACCTAATATTTTAATTCTATAATCCTTATGGGATGATATTTTTACTCTGATAACTTTATTACTTGATTATAATCTATGCACTTATAGGCATTAAGAAAATAAACAATCATTCTTCTCACTTCAAAAGTGTTCAAAACCTTGATTGGATATCTACAAGCACATAGAGTCAATACAAGTAATATAATGATAAGTAAAATATCATTCTTGATGTCGAGAATTGATAGTTAAGATGTTGGAGATTAATAGCAAACAGAAAAACTCACAAAGAAGACAACTCATAAGAATTTGAATAATGACAGAATATGATTATTGGATTAAAAGGGATAGAAGTTCACCACCAAGACTAGATACTAAGGGATACAAAAATATCACTATAAGAATTCTAATTAAGGATATAGAACAATAGAAGTTCACCACTCTAAGAAATCCACCTAAGAGATAAAAAACTTGAAGAACAATTTAAAAGATTGCTTAAGGATAAAAAAACTCTATTATGCCTTTTACCAAAGAATAACAAAAAATAAATAGGTTAGAAACATCCCTCCAAGCATGAAAACTTTATAGATTGAATTGCTAGAATTGTGTCTAAAATCATGAGATTTACATGTGAACACAATAATTTGTAATGTGAACGCAATTATTTGTCCATTTACTCCTATAAATTACATGATAATGAATCTGACCACAATTTTATCCATTTTTATGCTCTTCTTTTTTAGCTAGTGTAAACACAATCTCTCTCACCTTATTTCTACATTTGTTTAGTGAATTTAGATCGAGAATAGGCCTATCTTATTTTTGGATAAATTCTCATTAGTCTCAACCTAAGTTATAAGATGTGTTGGCACTTCAGTGTCATTCTCCTCTAGTTGAAAAAGATTTGTCCTCAAGTCTGAATTAGTCTTCTCGTCATGGTAGGGTGACAAATCAACAACATTAAAGGTGAAAGATACTTCATAAGTGTTGAAAAGCTCTATCTTGTAGGCATTTTTCCTAATGTGTTAGAGAATTCTAAATGGACAATCTATTTTAGGTTGTAATTTACAAAATTTCCCTAGAGGAAATCTCTCTTTTTGCAAGTTAATCCATACCAAATTACCTTTTTTGAACTTTACATGTTTTCGATACTTGTTTGTTGCCTTTTTATATTTCTTATTTTTTTTGTAAAATCTTAGCTTTCATTTATTCATGCAATTGTTTAATACCTTTAGCCATTTCTTCTACATCTTCACTAAATTATTGATTAGTAGGGAGAAAAACTAAATCTAAAAGGCTGATTGGATTTTTACCATACACCACCTTAAAAGGTTATAATAAGTGGTTTGGCTTGGTAAGCAGTTGTAGGCAAACTCTACTTAAGGTAAAACAAAATCCCATTATTTGATTTTTTTCTCACATAACTTCTTAGATGGTTGCCCAAGTTACGGTTGGTCACTTTCATTTGACCATTTATTTGAGGATAATAAGAAGAACTATACTTAAGATTAGTACCAACTATACTTAAGATTAGTACCAAGCTTTCTCCAAATGGTGTGCCAAAAATGACTAAGAAACTTGGAATCTCGATCAAACACCATGGATCTAGGAACTCTATATAGCCTCATAATTTTTCTAAAATATAGATCAAAATATGAAAAACATCTATAGTTTTGGTACAAGGAATGACATGTGCATCTTCAAAAAATGATTTGTAACCACTACAATGGAGTCTTTGTTTCTTTGAGTTCTAGGTGTCCAACTACAAAGTTCAAACGAACATCCTCCCAAGAAGCATTAGGCATGAACAGTGAAGTATACAATTTAGTGTTTTGACTATGGCTCTAAGCAATATGGCACACTCTACACCATTCAAAGTGTTTCATCATATCCCTCTCTATTTTTGGCTAATAAAATCTGTCCCAAAAAAGAGTAAGTGTCTTATCCTTTTTAAAGTGTCTACTTAGCGCACCATCATGAGCTTCATTGATTAAGGCCTATTTAAAAAAACATGAGAGAATGCAAAAGCTATTAGCCTTGAAGAGATATCCATGATGCAATAAAAACTAGTTATATGGTCCTTACTTGCATTTGTCTCAAATTCGACCAAAATAAGGGTTTGCCTCATAGAGCTATTTGATCACATCAAATCTAATAATTTCAACAGCTATAGTCCCCAATAGAAGTGTTTTTAATCCAAAGCATCTGACCACATTCTGAATTCTTGATTTATGTTTGATAGTGAAGTTGTAGGCTTAAAAAACTCCATCCAAGCTGTATGCCTTTGGTTGAACTTATGCTGGCTATTGATAAACTCAAGGCCTTATGGTTAGAGTATAGGACAAATGGCTTAGCAAGGAGATACTGACTCCAATGAAATAAAGCTCTATATATGACATAGAACTCTTTGTCATAGGTTGAATACTTCCTTTTAGCTTCATTGAGCTTTTTACTGAAAAATGCTATAGGCTTTCCTCTTTGACTTAAAATAGCACCTATTTCAGAGTTAGATGCATCATATTCTACCTCAAACACTTGATCAAAATCTGGTAGGGATAGGATGAAAGCTTCAGTGATCCTTTTTTTTTTTAGCTTAAAGTTGTGTTAGGCTTCTTTGGTCCACTTAAAATCTTTATTCTTCAAACATTCGGTGATAGGAGCCATAATGGAGCTAAAACTCCTAACAAAACACTTATGAAAAGATGCAAGACCATTAAAGCTACGGATATCATGTAAAGATACTGGTGTTACCCAATTTAAAATTACCTCAATCTTGCTAAAATCCATCTTTATTCCTTTTTTTGACACCACAAACCTTAGAAACACAAGGCTAAAAGTA